CTCCCAGAATTCTCCAGCCAGCTCTGCTGGGAGTTGAAGTCCACAAGTCTTAAAGTTGCCAAGTTTGGGAACCACTGCCTTAACCCATGGGCCAGATGCATCACATTCTGGCCACATCCCTGCCCGGTTTAGCGAAGAGGAAAGAAGTCCCATCGATTTATTACATTTAGATAGGAGAAATATACTGTTTTTTCAGTGAAATGTACTCAAAAATGCTCAATAGACAGAATACTTCATTTTTCAACTAAGGATCTTGGACTTTTGATGGATTATATATATATATTTTCTCTTTTTTGTGCTGTATGATTTCATATGTAAAATAATTAAACGATAATAATTTCCTCCTCCAAATGTTTAAGGGTCATTTTCTGTTTAAATGAAAATCTAATATCTAACTAAACAAGTGTCATAAATGTTATATAATTCAGTGATTTCTGATACAAAACAGGTCAAAAGGGAAGTATTAAAGACAACTCAGTTTTAAACATCTGGGATAAAAATCCCAAAACATATTTTTCCTTTAATGTAAGCCGTTTACCATTTCCAAGCCAGTGCTGTCATCATTGATGTCATCAGGAAGCAGTATAAACATGCTGAAATCATTCCCGATGTACTGGAGTTCAAGAATCTGGGTCTGTAATTCATCTATATACTTCCAGTTAAATTTGTCATGCTGGAACATCATCTGTACTGGCCTACTTGTGCTCTGGAAAGAGGTAGAGATATTTTGTTATGAATGAGATTTGCATGCTGACCTCCAAAAAATTTTCAGAGTGAATGGGGCCAAAGCATTTAGCAATAGCACTTAGACTTATATACTGCTCCGTAGTGGTTTTCAGAACACTCTGAGTGGTTTACAGAGTCGGCATATTGTCTGCAACACTCTGGATCCTCATTTCCAAGACCTCAGAAGGATGAACGGCTGAGTCAACCTTGAGCCAATCAGGATCGAACTCCTGGCAGTGGAATGCACAGTTAGCCTGCAGTATTGCATTTCAACCACCGTGCCACCATGGCGCATAGTGTTTTTTGGCAATGTTTGGGATGTTGCCTAAATATCTATTGGTCCCACTTACTTTTGATGTGTCACACAATGCCTCCTAATGCTTTTAAGCTGATGGGTAGCAATAGTGCCAGAGGTGGGTTCCTACCAGTTCGCACCTATTCGGTAGAACCGGTTCATCAAATCTACCGAACCGGTTAGAAGAGGTTCCACCAGTGGACCTGGAAAGCAACCCACCACTGACACACATATACACACAGACAGACAGACAGACA